CCTCAATCTAGGACATGACTTTCAAAACAGAGTTTTCTCCTCATTTCAGCTATACTAGACAACAACTTTAGTACACAAAAACATACAATGTTGATATACTTCAGTGGGAAAACAGACCAGATGACTATTTAGAGATGTAAATAATACCAGTGTACCTGTCATACACAGAAGATGTATACGTGGTACTCCCAACAGCTATAGCATCATTTGAGAAACTTGCTTTGCCAGAATCCCAAGCTTACTACTGCCTTTTGGGGGGTGGGGGGAGGGCACAGCACAGTGTATCTGTGTGCTTGTATCATCACCCTGATGGCCTAAGGCACACCATAGGGCAAATTCATACTCTATGTTTCTGACCCAGGCATGTCTATGGAACCCTGGCTAAGCTGTGTCCTCTGCACATTCTCCGCTCTGATATTTCTACCTAATTCCAAGCACCACTGCTTCCTCACAAAAGAGGTAATTATTACCCAAAAAAGAGTCTTGAAAAGTCAGAGTCAGAAAGTCTTGTCTGACACCCAAGGGTTTTCCTGTTTTCTCCTTGTCCCTCACGTAACTCCCAGTGCTGACTGCAACTCACCCCAGCGGCCTGGGATCATATACTCAGTAGTATGATGCACAAGACATGACAGTGATTGGAGCACTATTATTAAAGAGAGATTAAAACAGCTGTACATTATGCTGAAGCACTCACTCTTCCCTCCACAAACAGACGGTCCTGGATTACAAGCAGCACTTGACCGTTTAAATCACGACAGCCACCACATTTAACCAGCTGGGCCATACTCTCCTAGCGCTGCCTGTTGACCTCCTCAGTCGCAGCTGCTCAAATGAAATTCTCATTAGACAACCTATTTTCAGAAGCCAAAGGGCTCTCTGATTAAATATATGTATTTAGATATAGAAGTCCTTTTTAAAGTGTTCATTTTCTAACAACTGTCGCTTATGTTAGGACCCAGCTATGCTGGCAACAAGACGGGTAACACGGGATAACTAGAATTCATCATTTAATCACAGCTGAAGGATTTTTATCTTGGAAGCATTCTAACCTGGCTCTATTAATCACAGCCTGTCTGCGCTGTACCCACCAGTATCAACAGGACTTTACAAAGAAGATTCTGAGATTTAGTCATTCAATACACTCCTGTGTCTCTCCACTCGCCCATCATTTCCCTATGTGCCACATAGCCATTCATCTACTTATGACACTAAATCAAAATTAAATTCACAAAAGGCAGAACCCTTGTTCATCTTCCCATCAGCCTCACTGTTGGGAGAGGGTGCTTCTGACAAAATGCCATTGTTCATCAGACTCTCTGAAATCTAGTCAGAGCAATGCTCAGGGAAAACAGTGATATAGTGGATGAAAGCATCTGCCTGGAAAGTTGCTGTTTTATTATGTAAGCAATGGTTTAAATGGACAATGATAAACTTCATACAGATGAGTTTCTGCATTAAGAGAAATGAGAGGGATGGTCTTTGTAATTTGATAAAGAGTCAAAGCATTTTCTGGGAATGACTCAGAAAGGTCTTCATTTCTCCTGTAATCCATACAGGCTCGTCAATCAGCTGATTCTAAAAGACGGCCTTCACGCTGTGGAGTGGAAGATGACATATGTGAAAAGCTCTTACGTGCCCTGGGAGTTGTCCATCCCACCTGAGAAACCAGACCCAAGGCTGTAAAGATCCAAAGCCAAGCAGGTACTGGGAGGATTGTCTGGCCTCCTGAGAACTATGCTGTGATCATTTTAGAATCAGAAATCTATCCTAAACTTTAATGATCTTTCTATATTTCCTTGGTTTTCCACTGCCTTCTAGTCTATTGCTACCAGAAAACAACTGAAATTGGTACTCAGGCTTGAGGAGGTGGCTGAGTGGCTAAAGCACTGGATGTAAGAGTATCAAGACCTGTGTTCAGGATCCTAGAACCTATGTGATGCTGGACACAGTGGTGTGCATCTGCAATCCCAGCACGCTTATGGGAGAGGAGAGGTGGAGATGGGACAATCCCTGGAAGGTTATAGGGCACTTAGCCTGGTGTATTGAGTGGCAGAGGACAATAAACACTGACTGCAACAGGGTGAAAAGTGAGGGCTGACACTTGAAGTTGGTCTTTGACCTTCACACAGTTGCTAAAGCAGGTATACTGCATACACATACGTGGGTATGTGGGCATGCACATGTGCATATGTGTGTACACATGTACACACTTAAAAATGGGATTCAAACTATAACATTATAAAACTAGAAACCATCTTTTGCTCCCATTTGCAAACCATATTTGCACACTCTATTGTACTGATTGTATCACCACCTTCCTATTTGCTCAGAGTTTAAAAAAACAAAACAAACGACAATAAAATCCTGAGCTATGGTTGAACAACCTCTTGGTTTGCACACTCACACATCTTTACAATTCCTCTCCTGACTCCATCTCCATATGCCTCCCTCCTTTCTCACTTCTGCTGCCTTAGTTCAGACCCTTATCATCTCTAGCCTGAAACAATGGCCTAAATGTCTGTCCCTGTTCCCATCCACCCTACACTGAACTGCCAGATTCACTTTCTCAGAGCAAAGTTCTAGTCCTTTGCCACGTAGAACAGAACAGTTAGCAGCTTCTCCATTACTTTCAATATTGCATTTGAATTTTGTAGCCAAAATAGCAAGGCCTGTCAGGATCCAAACACAGCCTAGTTTTTCTATCTTAATATCCCCTATGCAAATTCACCTCAAGTTAGAACCTGAAGGCTGACTGTTTTACATGTAATGCCCTTCCTCGGCCTGCAATATCTTTCTCTGCATTCCACCAAAGCAATACTTTCATCCTCCAGACTAGTTAGGACTCATTCCCCAAAGAACCCTCTGGTGGCTTCCTAGGTAGAAGCAATCACCTTACCTTGTAAATTCCCAAAACATTTGATCTGTTCAGCTCTCATGAGCCTGTCACTGTTAGATTTCAGACTAGGTTTCATTTGCCATGTGTCCTATCCCTTTTACTAGACTATGAATTCTTGAAACTTTTGAGACTCCCTTATGCATTGTGAGCACAGCATGTAATCTAGCATCAGTCTTCTTAACCTTGAGTCCACAGACCCCAAGAGACAGAGAGACAGAACTCAGATGGAAAAGCAACCTTTCCCCAACCAGCTCAGACTGAGATTTTTGCCTTTCCTCGAGTGACGGGTGAAAGCAACATCTGCTGTGGCTATAGTGTTATCACAGTAACAACAGAACGTTCTCCATCTCCCTGCAATTGGTAAAAACACCTGCACATATCAGTTATAGCACTGCTACACTAGAAAGGCGTGGCTGACCCTACCTTAAACTCTATATTACTGTTAGCAAAAAATCACATTCTGCTTTACCATATTTTAAAAATTACTTGGGTATTTAATATTTTTCACTTCTTTGTAAGTCTATGGATTTTATTTTCTGAGTTTACCATAGCGCTAAGAAAGGCTTCACTAGACTGTTGAAGGAAGTCATAGAGAAGATAAAACTCTGAAAGAACAGAAGAGTCAGCTCAGAGTTCGCACACTAATGATCACATGTGCTATCCATAATTGCTCATCGGCCCCTCTAGAGCATACTTGTCCATGTTTTCAATATAGATCAGAATATACCAATCATCTTCTTTCACAATCTAGAGATGGATGTAAGAAACATATTAGAAATTACTGACAATTGGGAAAGAAATAAACAGCTAGAAACCCAGTATTGAAGATCCAATCAGTATATATATATTCACACACACACACAGTGTACCCTCAGGTGACAAAAAGGATCAATCACACACATGGGTGTGTAAAAAGATGTATGTGCTGTATGCATCAAGCAAGCACAAGAATTCTAAAGGTTTGTAACTAAAGAGAAATAACTGTAAAGTTGATCATCCAAATTACCTCAGTGGTCTCCAGAGGCATCATTACATCGAAGCACAGTGGAATAATTAATATTTATAATGTAATAATCATCAGGAACATCTCAAATTCACATAGTTTGCAGTTTATAAGAGACTTTCATATTCATTGTTTGGGTTATTTCTCAAAATGTTTCAATTGCCATGTTAAATAAAAAGACCACAGCAACTTTTGAATTCTGTAGCTTGGAAAAACTGAGCTTTGGGTAGAGCATGAGACAGGGCTGCAGTTCCTAAGTTACTGCAGAGTAGCCTGGGTCATCAAAGGCATCAAATACATGCGAGCAATCTGATTAGCATGACAAGAAAGTGAAGATGACAACTTTTTAGTCAGAGTTCCACAAATATCAATAAAACACAAATGTTAAATATTTACAAGAATAAAATTCAATTAGACAGGAACTATCTGCTAATCAAAGTTCTCTAGAGTGTCACCGAGCTCTAAATTTCACTTACAAGTGAAAAATCCAGGGCTAGGTCAGGCCTGAAGCACACAGCTAAAGAACACATGTACACACTCATTGTGATACCACACAGAGCATTTTGTTTAAATGCAGAGTCCACTGAAGAGTCCTGGAGAGAAACTGAGTGCAGAAGGCTGCACAGGCACCAAATCCCACCCTTGGAGAGCATTGACAGCTCTCCACTCTATGCCAACATTCAGGGTTGAATGTGAAATTTTACATGTATAACAGTCATAAGATGGAAGAGAAATACATTAGAAAAAAAGTTTACTTAATTTTTAATTGGGACATATTAAAAAAACTATCTGTCAAAAGGAAATAAGAAAAAAAGCTCTAAAACTGTTGCTAGGAAAATTCCCTTGCTATCTTTTTCCAGGGTAATGGTTAAGGTCAGTTCTAATCCTTGGGGTATTGTTGTAAGAAACAAACAAACGCACAGGTTTTGAGAAAACTGGGGCTACCTACTTAGCACTCTTAATGGACTTCAGTCAGATGTCACCATAGTAACCTATGAGTGACTAGTCCCAGCTTGCCTTATGTAGGCACTTCTGGCCCTTGGGATGCTGGTTATTTTGCTATGGCCGAGGAAAAAAAGCCCAGAGGAGAAGTCCACCTACCCTCTTGTTCCGTCCGAGTCATCTCCTCCAGCTTCTTCTGCTTCAGCGTATCCACCACATCGGCAAGGCTCCCTTTGCGGCGTTCCGGGGTTCCAAAACTAACACTGTTCATTATTTCGCGCTCCCGACTCCCTTCGTCAGGCTTATGTGGTGAGGTAGACGTATTTCGGAAGGAATATAGGGAACATAACTTATTATTCTCTGACTCCTAGAAAAATAAAACGAGATTGCAAAAGTCATTAATATGTAGGTTTCTTTCCCAGCTACTCCAAAAAGAAAAAGAAAAGAAAGAAGAAAACCTAATTGTTGAGGAGAGCTCATGATTGTCACTAGATCAAATAAATTATCTTAACAAAATAATATAACTCAGTGAGACAAACAGAACTGCTTGTCTGATAAGCAAAGCTGAACTTTGAAGTAGAAGTTAATTACCAAAGAAACTAAACTCAAGGCCCAGGTTCAAGCTGTTTCATTTTTGAGGTAATAAAACAAAACTGGACATTTTGGCTGCTCATTCACTCATACTTTTAATTTATGAGCATTCAGTTTCGGTGAGCCAGTATGAGAACTGGTGAAGTCTTTCTCCCTAACTGGGTCCTTTCATCAGCAATACTCTTCCCATAGACCAAAATATGTACATAGCACAAAAAAACAACCAAATAAACAAACAAACAAACTCTTTTCTCCCATTTAGAAACTTTAGAAATAGTGGAAGTTAACTTCAATGCCCAGCATTCACTACTCACTTGGAATTAGATAAAATGTCTAGCCCCGAGTCAGAGAGTCAGCAGTCTCAATGTTCTGCATGCTTGTGTTTGTAGGACACCAGCTTACTTCAAGCTGCACACATGGCCATAGTCGCAGAAGCTCCTGTCCACCCCCTTGCCTTGCCCCTGATGCTCCAGCATGCTATAGCACGCTGTTCATATGGCATTTAAAAACTGTCTTTAACAACAGTAAATCACTCATTGCAGAAATGTTTGCATAGGAATTATTTTCCAATATACAAAAGTTTGCTAACTACTAGGAGGCCCATCTATAGCTACAGAAAGGGAGCAAATCTTAGGTTAAAATACAAACACCACATGAAAGCTTTTCGAAAAGAAAATAATTTTGTATCTCCAAATAAGAACTGAGAATCAGGGATAGAGAAATGTCTCAGCTGTATAAACTGCTTTTGTAGAAGACTAGAGTTCAGTTCCCAGCACCCACATGGTTCATTTTGAAGTTTTACAATTCCAGGTCCAAAGTACTGTGTCTGTGGCCTCTGTGGGCACCTGCATTCCCATATTCACAGTCACAAACCAACACATACACATAAGTTAAAAATAAAATAAGACTTATAAAACTTAAGAACCCAGGGTTAGAAACAATTGTTACATGGCTGTAGCCCTCCATATACCTTGTCTGAACAAAAATATTCTTTTCCTGATTAAAAACAAGAAAAACTATGAGATGTTTAGTCTTCAGAAATGTCAACATTCTAATGGCTCCTAATCTCTTCTTCCAAAGGCAGCCCTGACAGCTTGAGTGAATGAGGCTGGAGCTGGGTCAGAGGCAGAACACTGGCCGGGCATGAAAAAGACCCCAGGTTTGGTCTCCAAGAACATGTGACAGAAAGAAATTGGTGCTGGAAGAAATGGGAGGCTAGTGAGACAGCGGTGGTACGGGGGCAGGGGAAAGGGGTAACGGGACCTAGGAGCTAAAGCAGTAAGTCTCCACTGCACTGAATGAAACAATGGCTGTGCTCACCAGTACTGCTGCCACCTTCAGATGGAGAAAGGGACCAGAGATGCCCCTGGGCATGGTACTGAGTCCCCAGAGCAGAGATGAAGCCCAAGGGAAGGGACAGATATAGCACTGGGACTAGAGGCATTGATATGACCCTCTAACTTAAATACTGTGATTACTTGAAAATCTACTGAATGGTCTGTGTTAATAGATGAACTGTGTGGTATGAATTTCAACAAAACAGTTTAAAACAGTGTAAGATGAGTCTTCTGCTCCTTGCCTTCATGTTATTGCTATCACAATGCCAGAGGGGGTATCTACAATGCTGAAATCTGAAATAACTTGAAAAAAAACAAAGTAAATGGACGAGGCATGGTCTAGAGTTCTTTGTCTTGCACCCAGACACCTCTGTTACCCACGGAAGACTCAGCATCTCAGCTAACATCTAGAAGCATTCTGTGGAGAGAGGCTAAGAAGCCCCTCTGTGTGATGCCTGCTGGGCATAGGCTTCAACTCCTTACCATGCTTGATTCAGTCTCCACATTGTCCAAACGAAGTCCCCAGAAACATAGTTGCAGTGCCACTGTGACTGTGATATTGGTAATGATCACTATATTCTTTATCCTTCATTTTCCCTCAGATGAAAAGTATGCTTGTATAGCCCCAAAATAAAAACTAAAGCCCTAGCACAAGCTAAGAGGAGCTGAATGACAAAACAGTGGACCAGGAACTGGCTCACTGACAGGTGTCTCCATTGACCAGAATGGAGGTCCCCTCACAGGTGTCAGATAGAGGCTGAAAGGCTCTGGAGAGGCACTCCAGACTAGCACTCCATCCATGAAGTGGCATTTGTCCCTTAGGCTCAAGTTCAAGCAGTCCTGTAAGCTGGTTATCACTTATCTGTTAGACTGTGTCCTTTATTTTATGGTCATGGAATGTAATTACCGTCATCCTATACCAAAGACAATAACCATGGGTTCCTTTACTTCAGTGATGACCCATGCTGTCCTCTGTCCCATGATCTGTGCAATGTGCCTCTACACTAACAAGTACAGAACATGAGTCTACAAAGTCATGATTTCTTTCACAAAAGCCACTGGAATTACTCATATGTTCGCAAGGCACTAACACAGGCATGAAGTAAACTCGTGAGAGGCTGAAACAGTGAGAGACTGAAACAAAAGTGCTTATCCTGGCATTTGGAGACACAGGGAGGGGGATGTGCCTGTCAGTTTAAACTTAATAAAATTTCATAAACATTTGAGTAAAACTGACAAAAGCAAATCAATGTATCTTTAAAATTTTTGTCTCATAGGATGGCAGCAACCCTAAATGAGAGAGGAGGGAAGGGAGTAAGGGAGGAACAATGAGAGAGAAAGGGAGGCGGAGAGAAGGGAGAGGGAGGAAGGGAGGGAGAGGGAGAGAGAGAGAGAGAGAGAGAGAGAGAGAGAGAGAGAGATCTATAATGGCCCCGCCCAGGAAGACTCAGAAAACATTGTGGAAGGGAGGGTGGAAAGAGCGTAAGAGCCAAAGGCCAGGGAGGACAGCTGCAGTACAGTGTCTTCTGGACAGAACACAGGCACAGTGCTCACGATCTCAGAGCAGCTGCGGAACCTGTACAAAGTTTGTACGAGATCAAGCCGTCAACACTATGGTATGCATAGGGAAGGGGCACTTGGCAAGGAATCACTCCTGAAGGAAGGGGAGTCAGTTTTCTTCAGCAGTATAGACAACCAAGTATAATAAGCATTTTTAATTTTTTTTTTTGTTTTTTTCGAGACAGGGTTTCTCTGTATAGCCCTGGCTGTCCTGGGACTCACTCTGTAGACCAGGCTGGCCTTGAACTCAGAAATCCGTCTGCCTCTGCCTCCCAAGTGCTGGGATTAAAGGTGTGCGCCACCACTGCCCAGCTAAAATTTTTAAAGAAGCACACGACATGAATCTTGGAGGATGGGCAAGAGATGAATCGGGGGCTAAGGAATAGTTATAGTCTCAAAATATAGTCTCTATGTGAACTTACCAAAGGAAATACAGTCAAAATAGAGGAAAAATTTATAGAGAGAGCAGCAAACAAACTTTGACAAAAGATTTCGAACTACTCTAGTAAGTTACATCATTTTATGGAAATTTTCTTAAGGATAATTTATATAATTTATATATAAGTATAATTTATTTCATACTTTTCTAAGATAAGACAGGTTCTATGCCAGACCAACTGAGAAATATGTGCAAAGATTTTTCTGTATCCCTAGCATGCAAAAGTATGGTAGCTCTGAGACACATAGGTTCTGACTTCCCTGTAGGATAGAGTGCTCCCTAAGAAGACAGTAAAATAAATCTATGTGGAGAGTGGAGAGATGGCTCCGTCTATAGGGTGCTTCTTGTGCAAAAAAAAGAAGACCTGAATTCAGAGCCTTGCTCTGATGTAAAAGCTGGGCATGGTATCAGACAGTCAGAGTCCAACTACTAGGGAAGAGACAATCCCTGCAACTGAATGGCCAAACATTTTATACAAATGGGTGAGCTACAGATCTACTGAGAGACCCCATCTGGAAGTAAAGATAAAGAGAGATGGAAGAAGACATCCAGCATCAACCCTGACCTATGAAAGGATACACACACACACACACACACTACAAAAACAGTTTTGTAAAGTTTTAAATTGTGCTTGGCCTTAAGGTTGCAATGTGGATATAAAAAAGACAAAATTCATAAATCTAGTGAGTTGTGAGAGTCTTATTAAAAAAAAAAAAAACAAGACAGGAGCTGACTCCCTTCCTTTGATCTTTCTTTGGAAAACAATTACTAAGTCACATGAGTGATCACAGGAGTACCACATAAAGCCAGGAGTGAGGAGCTCAGTGAGCAGGCTACTGTCACACTCAAAAGAAATTTACAACGGACGTGTTTCCTCTTGGCCTCTCTTCTCAATGGTTCCACCAAAAGTAGCAGTTAAAAAAAAAACTATTTATCTGGTCTTCTAATTTTTCCATCAATGAACAGACTATTTCTGTAATACAGAAAAACAAAAGTTACTTTAGAGTTGGATACTTAAAAGAAGTGGAAGCAGTGGAAGAGATTCATTTATGAGCCTAAAGCCTGGTCTGCTTGAGGATCTTCAGAGTCCCTTTCTTATGATCTCCCTGAACTTACCCAGAGAATAGCCTACAGCCTCTTCCATCTTCAAGTGAAGAATTTCAGATAATACAAGAGAATCGTTATGGGCTAAAACTATATACGTGTGTGTGTGTGTGTGTGTGTGTGTGTGTGTGTGTGTGTGTGTGTG